ATATTATATATATGCTTATCGTCTTATATTTATTTCTCTTGTTATATATATATATATAGTATAATTTCCATTATTACGTGAATATTCTCTTCAAAACAGCAAATGAAGAGTATTTTGAACTTGTCATATTTCAATCAAGGGATTATCATTTGTAACAGGTGTAATAATTTACAGCTGATTATCTTTTGAAGTCAATTCAAGTTATATAAGCAAACACAAAAATATCCGTGCCATTTTTACAGTTTTCAAACTAAAATTTGGTGTAGCTGAGAGTTAGACACAAAACGCTGTGTGGCATTTTTGCTTCAATAAATTAAATTGAACTATTCAAGTCAACACTGCCTGTCAGTAAAATATCCCATGAATCTTTTGACAAATTTTGCCGAAACTCTCAAAAAGTAATCACTACATGTTCATCTAAAACATTAAATCCTGGCATGAATAAAACTCAAGGTGGCTGCCACAGCTGAACAAACTTAATAGATAAATAGCCTTATGTTAGTCAAATTAACAGATTTTGAGCTGAAGTCTGATGTGGTAGTAGCTGAGAGTCAACCTCAACATGTAATGTGAGGGTTATAAGTGGCACAGAATATAATTTACAACAACTCATTTCCCATCACAGGATGATTTTATTAAAATATACTGACGGTGGGTGATGTGCGTTCCTCCAAAGGTTTCTAAACTTCAAACTTTTTCTCTGAATTTCTGTCTGTCTGCCTCGAGTATGGGAGAGCTTCAATGTTTCTTCTAATCTTTTTTTCTTTTCAAGCTTTTTAAATTGTCTACGCATGAACTTGTGGTCATTTTGACAGGTTCACGCAAAAGTCCCAAATGAAAAGGAAGAAGTGGATAAAATATAAGGGATGGACTTTTGATTCTTTAAAGAACATTTTAGGTTTATGTAATTTTAGGTAATAGCTTCACCATTAAATATTTCTCTTGGAGTTGGATTTGAATGCTGCTGTATTGGTTATTTTGCATGTTAAACATTATTTGTTCGTAGAAAACAAGGAAAAGATGAGAAGCGTGCCCTCTCACCAGAAGCTCATCTGTCCACCATAAAACCCTCTCCACTCGGTTCCCGAACATTCTCTGCTTTCTAACCATTATGGTCATAAGAAGCAGCTCTATTTGTGCATCTATCTGAGATCACGTTCAAACTCTCAACTATAGTTTTGTCACATTTACATGTATTTTCAAGGCCGTCAATGTGTTTAAGGTGAAGCTTGTGCCTGCAACAAACTGCTCCAGAATACAAGACGGCAACTTCATCAAGACCAGGAAGTAAATGTTGCTGCAACAACACTGATAAACTTCCAGGGACCATAACAAAGAGAGAAGGAGGAGGAGGAGGAGACAGAGACTGCGGAGCAGACATGTATGATAGATCATATGAGCGGATTGTTAAGAAATCCTTCATTTAGGAGAGATGTGACAGAGAACGTGCTCCTACCTCCTGAATGTGCTTGAGGGCACTGACATGTCTGCAAAGACAAGAAAAGATTTACATTAAACTGCGGAAATAAACTCCCAACCCTGTGAACACCTCAGTCTATTTGTCTTCAGGACTCGTTAAATTATTTAGGTGAGGCCTGATGAAGAAACTACATTCGAGGAATAGTTAAGTGTGCAGCAGGACACTTGTGTAATTGGCTGCCCACTGCTTGATGGATTGGCATTGCAGAACAGAAGATACAGTTAGTAGGAAGTGAACAGCAATATTAAAGGGTCACTAATATTAATAATCATTAAAAAAAATCTGATTGCATTTAGGAGAATGGACAGCTTTTGGGGGGGAGGGTCACCCACAAACGCAGGTACTCACAGTCTCTCTGAGTCGACGAGCTCCTTGGCGATGTAAAACGCTCGAGATCTGCCATCAATCTGTGTGACAAGAACGGAGATGAATGAACACAGTTAATGGTAAAGGTTCTCTGTGGGCACTCAGCCCTCTCCAACATTAATAGCACCAACTACAAATGAGTTAAAGAGGCTGACGAAACAACTGCATTACTTCCGTTTTTTTTGTTGTTTTTTTTTTGGATTTCAGTTGTCAGAGGAAGACGGATCATTTCATTACTGCAAAGCTCAGATGTGGTTTTCTCAAGTAGGAGGCGTTTAAATGAAGATGCAATATTTATGAGTGATCGTAGGTGCAGCGGTGGCAGCAACAACGCTGCACGCTCATTTGGAGACTTATAAACATGAGAGTCAAAGCATTTTCAGGCCTGTCCTTATTCAGTGTTGCACTTTAAAGGAACAAAAACCCTCCTGGACTGACTCGAGTCTTTCCAGTCCCCCTTCCGTCTTTGTGCGATTTATTGTAACTTATCTTTGAAGAAAAAGAAAAACAAGGAAATGCACGCCACATGATGGGAACAGAGGCTTGTTATTATTGTGACAGCAGCAGGATGGGTGAGGCCCGTCTCGGAACTACTGTAAAATACACGAGTACAAGTACATGGGACATTCAGGGTTCATCATCAGTTTCATCCTACCATACAAGGGTGCACTTGTTGTTTCTCCTCTCATTTATTAATATGTATGTTTTCTGTATCTCTTCACTCACCTGTCGGTCATAACTTTGCTCCATGCTGCCATCTTCCTCCTCTGAGGTTCGTCCGTGGTCCTCATCACCTGACAGCCCAGGAGAGACTGTGTTCACTGGGAAGGGCTCTGTGTAGGCACTGTCAAGAGACAAAAAAATCAACGTAAAAATGGCCACACATCTGCAATGAAATGAACAAAAATACTTGGGAACACAAAGCAGCACGAGGGACTAAAATTCTCAGATGTGCATTTTACAGTAAAAGGCTGCCATATTCTCACGGGACAAACTTAAACTCGATTTGAAATCCCCAGCCCTGTGCAAATGTACGTTTTTCTGCTTCCTGTGTGCGTCTCTGAGCCTTTCAGCTCATATGAAGACCTCTTCAAAAGGTCGCTGTAATCCCTTTACAGATTGGCTCCTGCAGAGATGGCACAGTTGTTCCTTGTTGTCAAACCTGAAGGGATTCAGCGTGGATTTTTTTTTTTTTTTTACCAGTAATCCCTTTTAAAATGCAACTTGCACTAATGATTTATACCCTCTGGCCCATTATGACACATTGAGCGTGTTTGTCAGCAGCAGGATAGTATAATACTGTGGTAATGGTGGACGATAATGTTTTTGTCTGTCTCTGTGTGTGTGAAAAAATTTAAACAAAAGATGAATTTTAATAATGTTGCAGAAAGTAATCATTGGATGTACATCTACAACAATTCAAGATGACTGCCACAGTTAATTGATCTTAAAAAAATACAATACCACAGTCATTTCTACAGATTTGGATCTATAATTAGTGTGGTAGTAGCTAAAATTAATCCCTTACACATAATCTGAGCATTAACAGGGAGATCTCTGTTTGTAACTTTTTCATTAGAGTAACCTCTGTCCTTTAGCAAAGAATCTCAATAACCACTTAATTAATTTTCATGATGTATTTTTTTTTTATATATATATAAAAAAGACTGGACGTTCCGTTTACAATTAAATAACTTTTGAAGCAATCCAATTCAAGATGTCTGACACAACCAGCTGGAGTTAGAAAACAAAAGTAGCTACATATCAGTCAGTTTGACAGATATTGTGCTAAACGTTAGTAACAATGTATACTTCAAGTGCATGAGATCTTTGCTTAAAACTTTAGCATCAATTGCTCAAGTCAACCATGTCTGTTAGTAAAATATCTCATGAACCACTAGACAAATTTTAAATAAACCTCCATAAAAATTTGTAACAATTGACTAAAATTTGGAATAAACCTGATTCAGTAGCTGCCACAGCTAGTTTACATTAGCCAGCACAAAAATGGCTGTAGCAGTTAATTTGACAGATAATGAGCTAAAATCTGACGTGGTAGTAGCTGAGAGTCATTCCCAACACATACTCTGGATCTAAGATCTTGACATTGCAAGTATTTGCATATATCATGTTGTTTTCAAGTTTGGATCAAAACTGCTACAACCTCTCAATGATCTTAGTCTACAACTCTGACATCAACGACAGCGGGCGACATGCATTCCTCCAAGGAATGCTAGACTTTTAATCGTGTTATTAACGTTTAATGAGTGGTGTTGAGAAATCTGCTTTTGCTGTAATGGAATATGGAATGTCGATGATATATTCCAACAACTCATATCTTTAAACAGGCTAAATACTGGATATACATGAAGATAAATTAGTATCAAAAATAGTCACGCAAGAGCCCAAGATTTATACATGATATTAAAATATAATTTCTTGTATTTTTTGGATGAACTGCATATTTGAAATAAACTTCTCAAAAGGGTTAGGTCATGCATCTGCAAAAACTACAGGAAAAATATCTTGTCAGGAATTCTCTTCCTCTGCAAACAAACACCGGAAAACATATTTTTCTGGCAGTTTTTCCACAAGAAGAAAATTATAATATTTTGGACTGTACAGCTAAAATAAACATTATAGAATATTCCCTTTGGTGGAACAGATTGTTCCTGATCAATTTTCCACACTAATAATAACCTAATCATTTTTGGTGGTTTATTTTAGACCATTACATCCACAAAATTATTATTATTTTTGGAATCCAGTAACATCAAGGTTCAAGGTTCTTTATTGTCATTCGCATCACATGTGGTACATGAGGTGGAACGAAATTGTGTACTCAAGGTCCCAGTTATGCCCCAAAATAGCAAAAATATAAACTATAAAAAGAAACCGTATACAAGGATCTAAGATATACGCTAAACACTAATAATGTAAAATAATAAGGTGTATTAAACAGCAGCCTGAACATGAGTCTGTAGTGAGCAGATGGGTATAAATACAGCAGCTTAAAGGCAAGAAAACAGCAGCCTGAGATCAGCAGCATGGATAATCAGCAGCACAGATAAGTCACATATCACCATTTAAAGTGGCATTGCAGTGATTTTCCTGGTTAGGGATTTATGAGTCTAACAGCTTCAAAAACATTAAGGTAAGCATATGTTTTAATATAGGAGTTGTGAGTTTCTGTGCCAAGTTAGAAATGTGTATTTTCCCAATAACTCAGTAAATCTAGTAAGGCTCAGCTGTCCCAACTTTTCACCAGCCTTGAATGCAGCATCACCTTTGTGAGTCTGGAGCAGTAAGAAAATCTCAACATTCGCAGGCAGCTGATTCACGCACTGCACTGACTGAGCTGTTTGCAGCAGGTGGTTTATGCACAGAATATTCCTAATTGAGCAATTTTCAAATGTGTATATTTGAAAATCTGTTTATGCATCTGTGAGTCTTGTACCGCAGTAAAGTAGTCTTGTAGTATGCTTGTGAATCTTATTGCACGCATACAAATCTTGTTGTGCACTTGTGTGACTACTTTTAAGTCTAATTTATCTTCATCACTGAAAAAGCCTGTACATGTTCACACACCTTTTAATAATTCTTTGCTCTGATGTCTTAACAGCCCTCAGTGTGAATTGGATGTAAACTACTTTCAGAAGGCTAAAGGTTAACAGAGTTATCCACTGGACCTCGATTTCATTCAGACATCCTTCACATGGCTTACTCTGCACCTCCAGCTTTCCTTTCCACGGAAACTCTAACAGCCTTTTGTGGGTGGGCTTGTGAAAGCACCTACGGCCCATTACTCATAGTTGACCTCAGAGCAGTCGGGTCAGCCTGGGCTCCTGGGTGCTGCTGCGAAGGAAAGAAAACTGGAGGGGATTGTTCTTCTCTGAACTCATTCCTCAGCTCTGATTTATCACACAATCCATCAAATGACCAAGAGCCACTCTTGTGAGGAGGTTCACCTTCACCTTTTTTCCACCACAAAAATCCTCCATTATTTATAGGACTGGTCCACAGAAACAGAAAATATAACAGACAAACGTTTTGTTCTGTCTGTAAGATTACTCTTTCAGAGTGTCAAAATCATCCAAGCCCTCACAAGATGGCCAGTTTTACTATTTAAACAAATATGAACTATACATAGCTGTGCCATGGTTATGAATGACATAGATAAGATAGAGATAATATGTAAATAAATAACTTTTCAAAAGACTATTAAGGCTATTATAGCAGAAGGCAGGACAAAGTTAAATCTATTGTGTGCAATTCAGAAGAGGACACAATGACTCCACAGTATAAAAAAACCAAAAAAAAACATTCCGGTAGTCTTCAGTGAATTTGATGGCGCTTGTAATATGTAAATCAATCGAGCTAAACACTGCCTATTAAAATATATATTAGAGCAGGTCTTTTCCCACTTGTAATGGCACCATTATGGAAACAAGACCAACAGAATGGGTTCATTAGCTTGCTAACTATAGAAGAGAGTGAGACAAATGGGGGAGAGATTAAGAACAGAGGCAGTTTTAAAGTGTTTGCTGCTTTTTGTGAGGAGGGTTATTTGTAGGTTGTGACTGTTGCATCTCCTGTGGAAAATAACTCAGGACAGTGGATTTATGACTGCTGTGGCCTTGCATATGATGCGACTGACTCGGGATATTAACTCTGCTAATTGTGAGTCAGGACCACACATACAAGTGGTCAAATCTCTTGACATTATTATTAACATAACTGAGTTCCAACAGAGGCCTCATAGACTAAAATTTCTTACCATACATTTTTAATTTAACATGGAATAGCACGTCACTGTTAACAGGTTTTGTACATTCATGCAGAAATGGATTTTCATCTTTCAAGTCATTTTCTGCACTAATGGTGTCATTAATCACTCAGAGGATTTTCATGCTAAAATGATGAGGATAAACAGAGTGTTGTCACCAGTTAAAAGACCTCCACCTCCAGTTCAGCCATAAATGAGTATCTGAAAATTATGACTATAGTTTTTCATAAACTCTCTCATATTTGTATATCTGTCATAAGATTATATGGCGCATTGAAATATACAATATAAGAGCTTCACAACGGCGCCTCTAGAGATCTGATACTTTATCAGAGAACACCAAGTTCCCAGTTTTATTAGTCAAGTCAAAGCCCCTGTGGCATGAAGGTAGCAACTCCAAAACATGACATATACATCACACATCTGCTAAAATAAGAAAAATAACCTAGCAGTGATGCAACAATACCATTACGCAATAACATTTTATGCTATGCTATCTCTCTTTCTGCACTACCATGGTGTTATGGAGTACAATAGTCCCTTGTTTATCACGGGGGTTTGGGACCACGCCCTCAGCATGATAAGTGAAAAACCGCAAAGTAGGGATACAGTAGTCCAAGTTCAAGTTCAAGTAAACTTTATTGTCATTACCATCTCATGTGGTGCATGAGTTGGAACAAAATTATGTACACAGGTAGTAGCAGTAGTAGTAAGTAGTAGTTTATTTTAGTATTTACTGTAGTAGTAGTTTATTTTAGTATTTATATACAGGTATGTATTAAGGTGGTTTAACCCTTCCCACACTCTTGCAATGTCCCTAACAATTTTCTAAACTCTAAATTCTCTAAAAGAGCACAGCATGTCATGATCTCAGCTCTCTGCCACCTGCCAAGGCTCTTAGCCACGCCCACTTCTCCTCTGCAGGGTAGAGATCTGACACACTGCAGGAGGAAGCTTCTCCTGCAGCTGTGGACTGCACACAGGTGCAACAGGTGCTAAATAATTTTAAATAATTTATTTTAAATAAAAATGTCATGCCGATCATGCGGCTCATCCAT